AAGTAAAATTTGAAACTAAAAACACAATACCATTTATATTAGCACCCCCAAAATTGTTGTACTTATGTATGAATCTAACAAAATATATACAAGCTCTATATGAGAAAAATTACAAAACTCTGATTTTAAAAACCAAGAAATTACTAAATAAATGGAGAGATATTCCATATTCATGTATGAGAAAATTCAATATTCTCAAGATGTAATTTCTTCCTAATTTGTTCTATGAAGTCAATACAATACAATTAAAATCACAGCAAGTTATTTTGTAGACCTCAACAAATTGATTTGTAATTTTATACAGAGAGGGAAAGGCCCAGAGTATCCAACATAATATTGGAGGAAAAAAAAGCTTAATTGGAAGACTGCCATTATCCAACTTCAAGATTACTATAAAGCTACAATAATAGAAACAGTGTAGTAATGAAGGAACAGAAAAATAGATCAATGGAACAGAATAGAGAGCCCAGAAACAGACCATGTAAATAAGACAACTGATCTTTGACATAGGAACAAAAGCTAGTGAAGCAGAACCTCTGGAACAAAAATAGTCTTTTTAACAAATGGTCTTGGAAGAACTGGACATCCACCTGCAACAAAAATGAATCTAGAAGCAGATCTTACACAAAAGCTAACTCAAAATAGACATACTGCTAGTGAAACTATAACATTCCTAGAAAATAACATAAGAGAAAATCTAAATGATCTTGGGTTTGGCAATGACTTTTTAGATACAACACCAAAGGCATAGTCTATGAAAGAAAAATTTCATAAACTGAACTTTAATAAAGTTAAAAAAAAAACTTTTGATCTATGAAAGACACTTACAAGGGAATGAAAAAAAAAACTGCAGACTGGGAGAAAATGGTTGCACTGCAAAAGACATATCTGATAAAGAACTCATTCAAAACATAAAAAGAACTCTTAAAATTCAACATAAGAAAATGGACAACAGGATTGAAACATGGTCCAAACACCTTAAGCAACAGTTCAGCAAGGAAGATATAGAGATGGAAAATAAGCACACGTAAAGATGATTCATATCTTTTGTCATCAGGGAAATGCAAATTAAAACAACAATAAGATACCACTACATATCGATTAGAGAAGTCAAAACCCAGAACAAAATCCATAACACCAAATTCTAGCAAAAATGTGGAGCAACAAAAATAGCATTAATTGCTGGTGTGAATACTAAATGGTACAGACATTTGGAAGACTCTTCAGCATTTTTTAAGAAAATGAAACAGACTCTTAACATAAGATCCAGCAATAGCCCTCCTTGGTATTCACTCAAATAATGTAAATGACAAGTTGATGGGTGCAGCACACCAACATGGCACAAGTATACATATGTAACAAACCTGCACGTTATGCACATGTACCCTACAACTTAAAGTATAATAATAATAAATAAATTTTAAAAAAAAGAAAATTTATAGCCCCATGAAAAACTCCACACAGATGTTCATAGCAGTTTTATTCATGATTTTGAAATATGCAAGCCAAAAAGATGTCTTTCAGTAGATGAATGGATAAACTACAGTACTTCCAGACAATGGGATATTATTCAGCACTAAAAAGAAATGAGCTATCAAGCCATGAAAAGACATGGTATCAACAGCACATGGTCATTATTTAAAGATGTGGGGCTGAATAAGTAACTGCAGACTGAGAAATGACAAAGGCCAAGGACTGAGTCCTGGGACATTCTGAAGTTTAAACGTTAGAAATAAGATAAGGGAACAGTAAAGGGTAATATAAAAGAAGAAAAAGTTGGTGATAGGAAACCATGAGAGTGTGAACTAATGGGGAAAAAGAGTGTTACTAAAAATTTAAGTAAGATTATGACTGAGCATTAACTATTGGATTTAGTAACAGGGAGGTGTTTGGTTATGTTATATTCAGTGAAGTGGTGAGAATATTATCTTTATTATAGTGAATTTAAGGGAGTCTGTAAGAAAGGAATTGGTGACAGTACTGATCACTTTTGAGGGTTTTACTATAATGCTGAACAATAAAATGAGGGTATAGTTACAACAGACCTGAGAACAAGACAATTGTTTTTAAGACATGATAAATATGGGCATGTTTGAATGGTGATGGATACAATCCAAGAAAAAGGAGAGACTGACATAGGAGAGATTGAGGAAAATTGTTGGAGTGACATCCTTGAACAAGACAGAGAAATCCATGGTCAACATCCTTCAGTATAAGAGAATATCTAAGTGGGAAATTTATCTAGAATAATATATACATTTGATAACAGAAGGGAAGCCAGAGTGTGTAGGTACAGATGCTGGTAGGAAGGTAGATGTGGCAGTGGGCATACCATGTCTTGAATTTTCTCAATAAGGTGGAAAGCAAGGACACACCTGACAGAAAGAGAACTATTTGATCTCAATGTATAAAGCAACGTTTTTGGTTTTACTTTTATCCCCACTCCAGTTCCGTACTAAATTTATTGCTAGATATGTCGTTTTTTTCTCATCCACTTCAGTTAAAATCCCTTTTAAAATCTTCTTAAATGACTTAAATGCATTTGCTGTTCTGGTAGGAAATACCCTCATAAAGAACTACTACAGCAATGGAGAAGCCACAGCAATATTGGAATTCAGCCATAAACATCAGGAAACCCTCTAAAATTTCTGACTCTGCATTCTTTTCAACAGTAGCAACTTTCAACAGTGGGTGAACACTGGGGTGCCTGGCAATAATTGCTCAAGGTGAACAGAACAAAGAAGGCAGGAAAACAACATTGGGGAGGCACTGTTGCTCAACAGGACGTGCCTCTTCAAAAAAGTCCTTCTCTCTCTTTTTGTTTTCCCAGTGTTGGTCAAGTTGGCAGAAGTACCAAAATAACATTATAACCTGAGATAGGCCCTGTGCTGCTTCATTTATTTACACTATTAGCAGCATAGAATTTAACTCTTCTGACCCCAGAAGTAACTGCAGCCACCAACAGAAAATGATTCTATTTTAGCATTGCTCAGGAAGCGAGGCTACAGACAGACACTCAAATACATTTCAGAAACAAATACAGCACTGTTTCCTCTGAAATAAATTAAATGAAAATTAGTTTTTGCCTTGTTTCTGTAAAGCTTCCATGTTACTGGGTACTTTGAAGTAACAGTGGAAATATTCATCCTCAAATTAAGAAAAATAAATGTATTTTCTGAGTTTCAAAACAGCCTTTGTGCTAAGAGCACAACTGAAAGATGACTGCTTGTATGTTCTTTCTTTTTCTAATTTCTAATTTTCTTTAAGATTTTTAAAGAAAGATTATTGTCTCTGGCCAAATACTCACTGCAAAACACTATTGTATTCCATGTTCAGCTAACAATTGGGTCAAAGGAGAGAAATAATATGCACCTAATATGCACCTTCATCACCTAAATCAAGTAAAATTTATCTTTAAATCCCACTCTATTATCATACCTCCATATATTTGCATATTCTTAGATGACTGCTCTAATGGGAAGTACTCTAATTGCATCACTATTCATTTTTAACCAACTTTTTAGCTTAATCATTGCATGTAGATGTGTATGATTGAACATAAAATATAATTAAGTATTCAATGTATAATTATTAATAAAAAGGAAAGTAGAATTTGACTTATACTGGCCCATTACTTATCTCTAATTTTACACTACTGGTATTTTTTAAAAGTTCAAATATGTAATATATTTAAAAATTGAGTTTCAGGTAAAGATTAAAAGAAATTTTACACCACATGAGATGAGTCAAAAGGAGAAAAACACTTACATTTACTTATGAATCATCAATGACCTTTCAAAAATGTGTTTTTAAACATCTATACTGATACTTTTCTGGCTAAGCCACAATCGAGGAGAAATAGAGTGTCTGAATTAACCTAATCTGTAATTTGAAGAAATTATAAGAATTTCATGTAAATGTTAATGTCTATTTCTACCATTTGGATAAATTTGTCATTATTTCAATGTGCTACATCAATTCATGACTCTGGGATACACCAGGAATTGTGTGTGTAAATGTGTGTCTGTGTGTGCATATTTCTTCGTGGGTTCTAAAATATGGATTAGAACTCATCACTATAAATCTTGTTGAATACCTAATTTATCATTTCTTGGATTGGCTTCAATTACCATAAATGTTCATTTATTCTTTTATTTTTTTAGATAAACTTCTGATTTTTTTTCTTTTACAGACAGTGTCTGATGCAGTGTCTAACTTTGGTGAATATCTTATGCATGTTAGAGTAAGGGAGGACTTACTCAAAAAAGAGAAGAAAACATAATTGTCAAATGACTTAATACAACTCCCTTGACAATATCCTATGCATTGTTTCTAAATGTCCTTAGCAAAATAATAAGCAAAATTTTTTTAGTACTTTGCAATTTCTCATAATAATTATTTTATTGCCCTTCTACATTTAGCAATTTTTTCTTAAATTGTTTTTCTCCACAAACAACTAACCTCTTCTCTAACTCCTTTGTCCCCTGAATTTACTTACGGAAAGCATAATGTGTGTTCATTTTCATTTCTTCATCATCTCTCTTCCCATTTTTTTTCATGTAAAGCTTGTTGTCTTGTTCATTTTTTAAATTTAAGTTATCTTGTCGCTGGTACGAAGTTATACAGAGAAGAAAGGAAGGAGAGAGGAGAACTGCTTTCTTTTTCACTCTTTCAACTGTCAAGGCATTATCTTTGTTTATTTTTAAATATTCATTGTGCAACTTATATAACAAATATATGGAGTATACAGTATAGTTGCCATTTCATGGATTGAAAAAATTGAATTGTGAAAAGATAATTCATCCAAGTTACATGTACTTGTATATGTATATTCATACATGTACAAGTGTAAGTGTATGTAATAAGTGGATAAAATAGAATTGAAACCCAGGTCACATATTTGTCAAAGTTCCTTCATCTCACTTCATCACTCTCCTATCATTATCACTAGAAAGAATCTGGTCATAATCCACTTGACTGGGTATTTCCGTTCCCAACAGGGCCTCCCTTGCCGGTGTTCCTGTTTAGCCCTCCTGGGACCTCCTCTTCCAGGCATTACTGCTACCAGATAATTGAGGCTTGGAACCTCCAGGTGTCAGAGAGTGATGCACTTTTGAAACCCTCCAAGTGATGAAAATCAGGTGTGTTTGACCTGTGACAAAGAAATGTTCCTCTTCATTTTATTATTTTACTTTTCCAAATCGATACCCAAACAGTGTCACTCATGCCTTAATATTGCCATTGAAGGTTTCTTTTAGCAAAACTTTTCTTCAAACATTTAAGGATAAAACATAAGCTCATAGATATTTGGGCTTGGCAACTAATCTGAGTGACCATTGCCACACTAAAAACTAAGATTCTACAATGGGTCATATTTTTTCTTTTCTCTTACAGTGTATATTCTTTTTTATATTCTTTTTTTGTTTTTATTATACTTTAAGTTCTGGGGTACATGTGCAGAACGTGCAGGTTTGTTACATAGGTATACACGTGCTATGGTGGTTTGCTGCACCCATCAACCTGTCATCTACATTAGGTATTTCTCCTAATGCTATCCCTCCCCTAGCCCCCCAGCCCCCGACAAGCCCTGGTGTGTGATGGTCTCCTCCCTGTGTCCTGTGTTCTCATTGTTCAGCTCCCACTTATGAGTGAGAAGATGTGGTGTTTGGTTTTCTGTTCTTGTGTTAGTTTTCTGAGAATAATGGTTTCCAGCGTCATCTATATCCCTGCAAAGGACATGACCTCATCCTTCTTTATGGTTGCATAGTATTCTATGGTGTATATGTGCCATACTTTCTTTATTCAGTATATCATTAATGAGCATTTGGGTTGGATCCGAGTCTTTGCTATTGTGAACAGTGCCACAATAAACATACATGTGCATGTGTCTTTACAGTAGAATGATTTGTAATTCTTTGGGTATATACCCAGTAATGGGATTGCTGGGTCAAACGGTACTTCTAGTTCTAGATCCTTGAGAAATTTCCACACTGTCTTCCACAATGGTTGAACTAATTTACACTCCCATCAACAGTGTAAAAGCGTTCCTACTTCTCCACATCCTCCCTAGCATCTGTTGTTTCCTGACTTCTTAATGATCGCCATTCTAACTGGCATGATATGGTATCTCATTGTGGTTTTGATTTGCATTTCTTTAATGACCAGTGATAATGAGCTTTTTATCCATATGTTTGTTGGCTGCATAAATTTCTTCTTTTGAGAAGTGTCTGTTCATATCCTTTGCCCACTTTTTGATGAGGTTGTTTTTTTCTTGTAAATTTGTTTATATTGTTTGTAGATTCTGGATATTAGCCCTTTGTCAGATTGATAGATTGCAAACATTTTCTCCCATTCTGTAAGTTGCCTGTTCACTCTGATGGTAGTTTCTTTTGCTGTGCAGAAGCTCTTTAATTTAATCAGATCTCATTTGTCTATTTTGGCTTTTGTTGCCATTGCTTTGGCTGTTTTAGTCATGAAGTCTTTGCCCGTGCCTATTTCCTGAAAGGTATTGCCTAGGTTTTCTTCTAGGGTTTTTATGGTTTTAGGTCTTATGTTTAAGTCTTTAATCCATCTTGAATTTTTTTGTGTAAAGTGTAAGAAAGGGATCCAGTTTCAGCTTTCTGCATGTGGCTAGCCACTTTTCCCAACAAAATTTATTAAATTGGGAATCCTTTCCCCATTGCTCATTTGTGTCAGGTTTGTCAAAGATCAGATGGCTGTAGATGTGTGGCATTATATCTGAGGCCTCTGTTCTGTTCCATTATATATCTGTTTTGGTGACAGTATCATGCTGTGTTTGTTATGGTAGCCTTGTGGTATAGTTTAAAGTTTCAGGTAGAGTGGTGCCTCCAGCTTTGTTCTTTTTGCCTAGGATTGTCTTGGCTATGTGGGATATTTTTTGGTTCCATATGAAATGTAAAGTAGTGTTTTCCAATTCTCTGAAGAAAGTCAATGGTAGCTTGATTGGGATAGCACTGAATCTATAAATTACTTTGGGCAGTATGGCCATTTTCACAATATTGATTTTTCCTATCCATGAGCATGGAATGTTTTTCCAGTTGTTTGTGTCCTCTCTTATATCTTTGAGCAGTGGTTTTTAGTTCTCCTGGAAGAGGTCCTTCACGTCCCTTGTAAGTTGTATTCCTAGGTATTTTATTCTCTTTGTATTGATTGTGAATGGGAGTTCACTCATGATTTGGCTCTCTGTCGGTTATTGGTGTATAGGAATGCTTGTGATTTTTGCACATTGATTTTATATCCTGAGACTTTGCTGAAGTTGCTTATCAGCTTACAGAGATTTTGGACTGAGACAATGGGGTTTTCTAAATATACAGTCATGTCATCTGCAAACAGAGACCATTTTAACTTCCTCTCTTCCTAATTGAATAGACTTTATTTCTTTCCCTTGCCTTTTTGCCCTGGCCAGAATTTCCAATACTATGTTGAATAGGAGTGGTGAGAGAGGGCATCCTTGTCTTGTGCTAGTTTTCAAAGGGAATGCTTCCAGCTTTTGCCCATTCTGGCCGTGCCGTGGGTTTGTCATAAATAGCAATTATTATTTTCAGATATGTTCCATCAATGCCTAGTTTATTGAGAATTTTTAGCATAAAGGGCTTTTGAATTTTTTCAAAGGCCTTTTCTACATCTATTGAGTTAATCTTGTGGTTTTTGTCATTGGTTCTGTTTATGGGATGGATGATGTTTATTGATTTGCACATGTTGAACCAGCCTTGCATCCCAGAAATGAAGCTGACTTGATTGTGGTGGATAAGCTTTTTGATGTGCTGCTGGATTCAGTTCGCCAGTATTTTATTGAGGATTTTCACATCAATGTTCATCAGGGATATTGGCCTGTAATTTTCTTTTTTTGTTGTGCCTCTGTGAGGTTTTGGTATCAGGATGATGCTGGCATCATAAAATGAGTGAGGGAGGATTCCCTCTTTTTCTATTGATTGGAATAGTTTCAGAAGGAATGGTACCAGCTCCTCTTTGTAACCTCTGGTAGAATTCGGCTATGAATCCATCTGGTCCTGGACTTTTTTTGGTTGGTAGGCTATTAATTATTGCCTCAATTTCAGAACTTGTTAATGTCTATTCAGGGATTTGACTTCCTTTTGGTTTAGTCTTGGGAGGGTGTATGTGTCCAGGAATTTATCCATTTCTTCTAGATTTTCTAGTTTATTTGTGTAGAGGTGTTTATAGTATTCTCTGATGGTAGTTTGTGTTTCTGTGGGATTGGTGGTGATATCACCTTTATCATTTTTTATTGCATCTGTTTGATTCTTCTCTCTTTTCTTCCTTATTAGTCTGGCTGGTGGTCTATCTATTTTGTTGATCTTTTCAAAAAACCAGCTCCTGGATTCATTGATTGTTTGAAAGGTTTTTCGTTTCTCTGTGTCCTTCAGTTCTGCTCTTAGTTATTTCTTGTCTTCTGCTAGCTTTTCAATTTGTTTGCTCTTGCTTCTCTAGTTCTTTTAATTGTGATGTTAGGGTGACGATTTTAGATCTTTCCTGCTTTCTCTTGTGGTCATTTAGTGTTATAAATTTCCCTTTGCACACTGTTTTAAATGTGTCCCAGAGATCCTGGTATGCTGTGTCTTTGTTCTCATTAGTTTCAAAGAACATATTTATTTCTGCTTTCATTTTGTTATTTACCCAGTGGTCATTCAGGAGCAGGTTGTTCAGTTTCCATGTAGTTGTGTGGTTTTGAGTGAGTTTCTTAATCCTGAGTTCTAATTTGATTGCACTGTGGTCTGAGAGTTTGTTGCTTATGATTTCCGTTCTTTTGCATTTGCTGAGGAGTGTTTTATTTCCAATAATGTGGTCAATTTTAGAATAAGTGCGATGTAGTGCTGAGAAGAATGTATATTCTGTTGATTTGGGGTGGAGAGTTCTGTAGATGTTTATTAGGTCTGCTTGGTCTGGAGCTGAATTCAAGTCCTGGTTATCCTTGTTAATTTTCTGTCTTATTGATCTGTCTAACATTGACAGTGGGGTGTTAAAGTCTCCCACTGTTACTGTGTGGGAGTCTAAGTCTCTTTGTAGGTCTCTAGGGACTTGCTTTATGAATCTGGGTGCTCCTGTATTGGGTGCATATATATTTAGGATAGTTAGCTTTTTGTTGCATTGATCCCTTTACCATTATGTAATGGCCTTCTTTGTCTCTTTGGATCTTTGTCGGTTTAAAGTCTGTTTTATCAGAGACTAGGATTGAAACCCCTGCTTTTTTTTACTTTCCATTTGCTTAATGAATATTCCTCCATCCCTTTATTTTCAGCCTATGTGTGTCTTTGCATATGAGATGGGTCTCGTGAATACAGCACACCAGTGGGTCTTGACTCTCCAATTTGCCAGTCTGTGTCATTAATTGGGGCATTTAGCCCATTTACATTTAACGTTAATATTGTTATATGTAAATTTAATCCTGTCATTATGATGCTAGCTGGTTATTTTGTCCATTAGCTGATGCAGTTTCTTCATAGTGTCGATGGTCTTTACAATTTGGTATGTTTCTGCAGTGGCGGGTACCAGTTGTTCCTTTCCATGTTTAATGCTTCCTTCAGGAGCTCTTGTAGGGCAGGCCTTGTGGTGACAAAATCTCTCAGCATTTCCTTGTCTGTAAAGGATTTTATTTCTCTTTAGCTTATGAAGCTTAGTTTGCCTGGATATAAAGTTCTAGGTTGAAATTCTTTTCTGTAAGAATGTTAAATATTGGCCCCCATTCTCTTCTGACTTGTAGGGTTTCTGCCGAGAGATCCGCTGTTAGTCTGATGGGCTTCCCTTTGTGGGTAACTCGACCTTTCACTCTGCTGCCCTTAACATTTTTTCCTTCATCTCAACCTTGGTGAATCTGAGGATTATATGTCTTGGGGTTGCTCTTCTCAGGGAGTATCTTTGTGGTGTTCTCCTTTTACGTGTATTTTCTAACAGTCTAACAATCCTTAGTCCCCATGTAAATATGCTTCAGGTAAGACATGTGTCTCATATCTGTCACTTAGAATAAAAATTATTAATGATAACTTATTAAATAATATTCTATGATAGTTGTAGTTTTAAATTCTAAAGTTGGGAAATATAATTGTTAGCCATGATGAATCTCTAGTAGATCTAGAACCAGGTTTCAGGCTTCTGAAACTTTTTT